GTGTGCACCAGTGAGTTTCATGTGTGCACCAGTGAGTTTCTTGTGTGCACCAGTGAGTTTCATGTGTGCACCAGCTACTTTCTCATGCACACCAGTGAGTTTCACGTGCACACCAGATAGGTTCTCATGCGCACCAGATACTTTCTTGCATGAGTATTTCGGACAGCCGTGTTCATTAAAATGATGTCAGTGAACTAATTAGTCCATATTTTTTAGTTTGGGCTCCCATACAAAGACATCGCTGCATTGGTTGTAAGTCGTCACCATCATGTTCTGTCTGAACGTCTTTTATTTTTATAATTTTTTTTGGTTTTCCTCTCTTCAGTGTCCGTTTAGGGGCTCAGTAAAAAAACGGCCTCTGCTGCAGTGATTTCCCTGATCTGTAAAACTGCTTCTCTGTTTATCTCCAAGCTCTGTGGGGTGGACCAATTTCCTTCTGTTGTGTTTTTACAGTGTGACACGCGCCGATTACCTGAACACCTTTGAGTTCCTGGACAAGTTGGGGGAGAACCTGAAGATCAAGCTGGCCAACCAACCCAAACTGTGATCCCAGCTGCAGCACAGACTGATGCACACGGGGATATCTTTACAGGAAGTGGAGAGATTGGCCAAGTAGGGAGGAGATATCTCTGGGTGATGTTAGCCGTAGCATCCGTGAGGGTCCGGCGTCCCTCATGCTTCACACAGACTGCATTAACAGGAACTAATCTCCCTGCTCTGCAGCAGAGGGTGATCTGGTGGTGAGGGAGCCTCTGGACCATCAATGCCTTCTCTGTTTTGTGTCAAAAATCCTACTGTTCTCGTTGCCTTGTTGTGTTTCCTGAATATCTCAGGCAACGTTGTGATGCTGAGTGAAGCAGAGCGTGTCCTAATCGCCTCACCAATCAGACGCTCAGCTTTCAGTCGGGCAACTAAACATTCCAGAAAGTCATGTAGAGATTTCTTTTCTGACTCACCATCGTGGTTTGTAAACACTACTGACCAATAAAGACTCTTTAACGTCCAACTGAAAACTGCCGCCTGTTTTATTCCCTCCTTAAAGCACTGAATGTGTGAATCCATGTAATAAATGGCAAGTTGTTCAACTATAATAATTATAAATATCTGAAAAACACAACAAAACATTCAGGCCAACCAAACATATTGAAACAAACTGAAATCAGCAGCCAAGTTTTCAAATAATTTACATATTTTTTAAAGGATTAAATGCATGTAGAACATTTAGATGTTTCAGATCTTTAAACTGATTTTGATATCAGAGTAATGTAACCTGAGTGAAGGATAATAAATGAGGATTTCATTTATTTGGGAGTCATTTTAGTCGTAGTGTTTGAGTTAAATGTTTAACCAAAGTTAACCACCTGATTGGTTCAATGAAGCCGATTTGAAATATATAAAGGAAAAGTCTGTTCATATTTAGATTTCAAAGTTCTGAAAGTATCTTAAATATTAAATGATTACATTCATTCAGTATTCATGTCACATCATGTCAGCAGCACTCTGTGGATTTTATAGGGATTTGATTTGGGGTTTTACAGTAGCGGCCATTCAAAATGGCACTTCCAAGTCAAACACCAGCAGAATGGCAGCCTACTTCCCTGCAATTCCAGGCAAAATCC